TTGGTGCTAAACCTGACAGAACAGTGCTGGACCAACGTGGCTTCCTTATGACTGTGGTGAGACATACCAGCTCCAGACCAACAAGGCAGACGGTGGGATACAGACACGCCACAGCTCTTCCCCAGCCCCAGCTGTTGCATCATCTGCCTTTGGAAAGCCAGGGGAGAGTGCAGTGTGAGGAACAATATTCAACAGCGCAAGAGTCCCCAGGCTCCCGATCTTCAGCTGTGAGGTTGAGCTTCTACATGGAAGTTCTGGAAGCAATTGCTAGTCCCTCACTGGAGACCATCCCCAATGTGCTGCTGTGTCTGCTCCTTCCTTGTCTTCGGTGGGTAATGGGGCTGGAGCCAGGTAACTGATACTCCCAGTTAGAACTCATTCTGCAGAGAGCTAAGTGAGCACTGAGGGCCATGTCCAGGACCATGGGGGTCAGGACTGAGTTATTGCCTCTGACCAGTGACCTTCCTGCTACAACCTCCATTTCTTTGTGTCCTTTGGGGTGCGAGTATGCCATGGAAAAGCAAGAGAAGGTCCAAGCTTTAAGGAGCTCCTAGTGTGTGCTTGGTATTAATTTTGTGGCTGTCTTCCCAAGGGTGGCACAAGCAGTGCCTTTCGTTTGCCTTACTCCTTAGCATCCTTGTGCGCATCCCAAACAGATAGAGCAGTCCTGATGCTCAGGTGGGCAGTTGATGCAGCTCTCCCGGTAGGTGCTAAGGAGCCAAGGCAGTGCATCCAGGCTTGCGTTAGCTCAGGCAGCAGGCTGGGATTGAGGAGGGAAGGGCTCTCCTTCTGCTCTGTTGCATCTCTTGTAGCTGATGGGGAGCTCTGTATTTTCTGCTGGTGATAAGGGCTAGTCTCGGAGGAACAGCGGTGGCAGTGCTTCCCATAGAGCTGCAGGCACGGGGAGGATTATGTGAGCTCCCAGGGTGCTCACCTGGCCTCTGGTTGGGATCACGCCTCCCTGGGCTCCTGTTTCACCACTGCCCTGGCTCTGGGAATGCAACTGTGCTGGGCAGTAGTGCAGTTTGGAGGTGTAGGACCATGATGTATTGGACAATGCTATCTTTGCGTGTTGTTGCCTTCCTGCATCTTCCCCCTCCCCCTGCCTGCTTTCCCCTGCATCAGCCTGCATTTGTAAAATGAAATAAATATTGACACGGGTGGGATGCTATTCAATTTGTCCTGATCACTGGGCTGCGGTGAGTTCTGACAGAGCACAGTGTAAAACATAAGCTCAGGATGTAATTTCTACTGTCAACATGATGTACAGTATAGCTGTGCCAAATACACACCGACAAACTGCACAAGCTCTGATGGGGAGGGGAGGCGGGGACTTGTGTGGATAATTGGGCAGCGGGGATGACAGAGCAGCAGGAGAGGGGGCATCGCCCCAGGCCCGGGTGGTGTGAGGGTCTGGTGCTTCACTGCGTGTGTGAAAGCCTGCCTGGCACAGCAAGTGCCTGGACCCGCTGCCGAGTGGGTGCGCGCGTGCTGTGCCCCTGCAGCCACACACTGCTGCCTGCTTGGGATGCTGTGCTGGGGCTGCTTCTGACTGCAATAACAGCAGCTCCCATTAGTTATTGATGGCTCCGCTGCTTGCATGTGGCAGAGAGAAGTGGCACTTCCAGCTATTGGTGAAAGGTCTTCAATAAAAGGGGGAAATAAACGTTGTGCTGCTGCTCGTTCCTGTGCGTGAGACCTTCCGTGGTGCTTTGCAGCTCTGGGGTACTTTGAATCCTGCTGCAGCATGTGCAGGCTGCTTCAGGGGCATGGATAGGACTTTGGGCACCCGGGTCTGCTGTGTCTGGAAGGGATCTGCGATGTGACAGAAAGGTGTGCACACTGAAAAGAGGTATGAAGCTGACCCTAGCTGTGGCCTGAAGCTGTGACAGAAGAGAAACAGACTGAGAATTTATGGGTGGAGAAGAATGCAGTTTGTGGCAGTGAGCCTTGCCACACAGATGTGTCTGTGGGTCAGTGTTTCTAGGTGACTGGGTACTAAAGGCTGGAGCTTGCAGTGGGTTATATAGATGGGCTTTGCAGCGTGGGACCTGAGTTACATGGAGGTGAACTGGGTTACACTGCCTCCATTGCTCATAGGAAGAGCATGCAAACAGCTTAGCTGTGTGTAGCTGAACTTTGAACACGAGACAGCCACCAGCAAACCGTGTTAGTTCAGACGTAGCAGCAAGATGAGAAATACATTAAATGTAAGAAGCAGTATAATGGCTGAGACTCTAAACATGAGGTTGTGGTTCCCACAGCAACGGCAGCCCAGCCCATGCTGCTCAGCAGGGCTCTCCCTGGCAGGAGCTGCTCTGTGGAGTGCTTGGATGCAACAGGGCTGAGCAAGTTGCCTTGGGAACTGGGGTCCAGCTTGGCTAGCCGGGGAGCAGCGTGGCTGGAGCTGTGCTTGCCCACTGCCACACCTCTTCCCTTGCTTCCTTCTCTCTGCCTTGCTTTAGTGTGTGCATTTAAATTGTTGCTTTTACCGTTTTACTGACACTATTTAGGACTTGGCTGCTTCCATGTATGTGCTGTAACTCTGGGAAGGCCGAAAGAAAAGGCACTGTGCCCATTTCTGAACGCGTAGCAATGCCATCCCTGCACACACTCGGGGTTGGCACTGGTGCATGCCTTGGGCAGTCAGGTCGTGGCTGCCACTCAGCCATGAAATGGTGCAGTGGTGGGAACGAGGATGGCGCCAGCGCTGATGCTGTGTGCCCCAGGGTCAGTGTGCTGCCTCGCCGCCAGCTCTTGGGTGCTGGGACCCCTGGATGTCTATGTTACTTGTAGAGCCTGGGTTTGCACCACTGGGCTGACTTTCAGCCTCCCTGTGTTCAGGAGGTGCATGTGGAACTGCTCTCTGGCGGTGGCAGTGCTGCCTGGGCTTTATAAACCAGCACAGAGTGGCCTGGATGACAAGGAGAGGGTGTCACGGTGGGCAGAGCGGGAAACTTCAGCAGCTGGTTATTGCCTCTGTCCACAGTTCTACTTTATGTAGCAATCCTTGAGAACATCTGCAAATGGACTGTTTGTCAAGTTCTCTTTCTGGCAGTGGCATTTAGCACATACAACCCATTTGTCCTTGGACTTCAGACACATCTGGAGGCTTGCAAAAGTGCTGTGGAGTGGCAAAGGCCAAGATACTGGTGGACAGGCTGTTCTTCCCATGCTTCCCTGGGTGGTGGCCTGAAGCTCTGGCTCTGGAATACCTGGTGCTGGTCAGTTTATTGACATGTCTCGCTGTCTGGGGAACTTACTGCAGAGTAGCCCCAAACTTCCCAGATGTGAGAAACTGGAGGGATGCTGTTTGTGGCAATGGTGTGCTATATCTTGTCATGTGTATCTTCTATATATATCCATGTCAGTGTGATAAAACAGGTTAGTACGTATCCTGTTATTGTCATTGCAAATGCCTTACTCTGAAGCGGCCTGATCTTCCTTTCCATACATCCTCTTTTCCACTCCTGTTTAGAGTAACAGATGATGAGACTAATTCTGCACACCAGTGAAGATGTGCATGTTTCATGAGTAGTTCTGGCTGTGGCTGATGTTGCAGAGCTCTGGAAGCTCAGGGTGTTGATGCAGGGGGTACAGATGCTGCATGCCCATCACCATCTCCCGATCGAGCCTCCTCTCCCCAGATGCTCGCTGAATGCAATCTACCTTTGGCCACACGTCTCGTGTCTTTATCCTTAATGCCTCGTGAGTGGCTTGAGGTTTACTCCAGAGCCTTGTCTTAAACTGTGAGCAATCAAGTTAGCCAGGCACCAAGTCCTTGAACAGATGCTTTTCTGCTAGCCCGTGTCTACAGAAGTGAGATGCTGGGAAAACTTGGGCTGGGAGGCCAGACCCTGCACAGGCAGCAGCCGCTGAGCAGCGCTGGGGGTGCTGCCTGCATGTCTCCCACCGTTGCAGGCAGCAGTGACCTCCTGGCAGCAGCCAGGGCAGCGTGCTGAGGAGGTGCCCTCAGCTGTGGGGTTCCTTGGTCTTGGAGTCCCTGTGGGAGCAAATGCCCGCCATGGAGGGAGCTCTGCAGCGTGCTGTCCTCCATTCCCAGGTGCCTGCTTCA